TGTAACAGAAAGGACCATCCCTCCATTTGCTCAAGAGAGATGCTCCTCAGGCTCTGAGTGCACCAACAGACTCTAATTGCTCTGACTAGCCTTTAACCATCTTTCTCCATACCCTCTTCCCACACCCCTGCCAGGTGTTCAAGGTCTGCACTGATACAGCACAGCTATGTCGTCTTGTATCAGACTGCCATGAAAACAACTAAAATGTGAGAGAGAGCTGTGGGAGGTCTAGTCTGGGGTGCCCCCTCTCCAGCCATTACCATGGGAACTATGTTTAAGCGGAGGCCTTGCCTGAGCTGTGATGTGGATATGCTGTGCCTGGCCTTTTACCTTGCTGACCCTGATCTTGCCTTGCTGACTTTGCCTTCAGACCTGCCTTGTCCCTATGGACTTTCAGCTGGTCCCTGAGCTGTTGTCAGGCTCTGGTTAACGCCACCTAAGCTGCTCTGCTCTTCTTGTTTAGGTACTGTGAGACCATATCCCTCATCAGGAAGGTCACTGCCCCCCTTGCCTTGTCACCTTTTGTTCCTGGCTCACCTGTGACACCTAGAGTTTCTATCCCATTTTTTTCTTTCTCACCTTGCCTTGGAAGCACTTGATTTTACTGTGCACTCTCAGTACTTACTGGTTAGAGTTCCGGTTCAGCACCACTTAGTGCAGAACTCTCTTCAGTGTTTCTGGACATAAATGCAGACATTTATTCACCCAGGAGCAGAATGTTGTTAATTACTTTGTTTTTATTTAAATATAGGTGTTCCAATCTGTCCTATGACAGCAGTTCCTCTGTATGCCTATTTAGTAGATGCTAGAATAACACCCTTCTCTTGCAAATTGGTATCCAGCTGAAGACCTCAGGGCTGATCTTCTAGCTGGTGACAATGGCTGCTATGAGGGAGCTCCAAGCTCTTGCCTCAAGACATGAGGATCAGCAGTGCTTTCAATGATAGGTGTTGAGGCTATGAGGATGAGGATGAAGATCCAGCCCTCTCTTGCCCCATCCTGGGGATTGTGACCGCTAAGGCTCTTTTCTGCCTCCTCTCTGGTCTGCTACGTGAAGCATTTCTAGTTCCACTGTGGCTCAGTTTCAGTTCCCACAGGAGAGTGGGTGGTGGAAAATTGTCTCCTTCCAGCTCCCTTGCACTTAGTTGCCTGTGGCTTGGGCTGCCTCCTGAGACAGGACATTTGAGTGTCCTATGTATAATGACCTGAGAAAGGAAGTTGAACTTCACCTTCCCTGAACACGTGCTCCAGCCTTACAGGTATTATGTGCATGAAGGGGAACACTGTTATTGCCACTGCCTTTTTAAATTAAACAGTGAGGTTTGTTAGGATCTTTCGGGGGGTGTCAGTCATCCTATGAAAATACTTGTCAGGTCAAGCCTTCGTGAGTGGTCATACGCTTTTTTTTCCTGGGTCTCATTAAGTTTACACCTGAGCAAGAAGTATGGTCTAGGTGGGAAGGCCAATTCAGCCCAAGTCATTTACAGAATTCTTGGGGGCCCAAGAAATTTAAGCAGCTACTGGATCGCAGTTTTGGACTCAGGTAACTAGACCCCTCTTGGGAACCAGTGCAAAGTCTGCACGCAGTCCCTTTCTCTGCCTGCTTGCTACGATCTATAGTCAGACTATCTTGTAAAGGGGTAAAGTTTTCCTACGTGGTAGTATCATTTCAAAAGGCATGGTTTTAAATTATCGATTCCCTAAGCACTGCTGTAACATTCAGATGTCCTTACCTTTTCGGATGCATAACTTGCACATTTATTTCACCTCTGCAATTACGACCATTAATGTGTTTAACAGCACTGGATAAGCTACAGAGAACTGCATGAACAGTCAGGTATTTGCATGAGGATTAGAGACCACCAGATGGCTATCTCTGCTAAACTATTTTGATATATGCTGGGTTAGTTTTTGCTAGCTGGGTTACTGAGATTCAACTTTTCCTGCTTTTGGCTAGTAGCTCATTATAATTAGCAACATCCTTATCAGCCACTTCAGCATTTCCTTTCAGTAGAACAGGTTTCTTCTTTGTTTTCCAAAAACAAGAAAGATGTTTCTTCCACAGTGTCCACCTGAAAACTGTTTTGCATAGCATAATGTTATGTTCATGCAGAATCATTTACAAATCTTGGGTCTTTGCCTTGTTTCCAAAACAACCAGAAATAAATTGCCTAAAGATCATTTAGGAGGGATTACAGTTTCCTAATAAAAATCTTCAGCCAGAACTGCATTGCTAAAGCCAAACCTAATGTAGGTTTAGAGATAAAGAAGTAGCAAGATATTATGCAAAGGATGAGTATGGACCCATCATCTCACATCAGTAACTTTAAAAGGAGATGTGCCGAAAGATTGTTTTCATTCAGAAACCCTGCCCACAAATTCCATGTTAATCTTATGTCACTATGTTCTCTGTATATATAGAACATATTTCTGATTTTCTCTAAACAAAAAAAGTGCTGCTGCTCTTCTCCCACACCAAAAGGAAGGTGTTTCAGCATCCTTCTTCATACTGCCATCCTAAAGATAACACCTGAAGGTAATCAGTGTCGCTTTGGCCTTGAACTCCCACAAGTCTAAAACAAAATAGCCATATAACAACCTTTCCAGAAGTATAGTATCAAAAAAAAAAAATCAAAAATCCAATCTGTTTTCTTTAGACACTTAATCTAAGGGTTGGAGTACCACACCCTAACTAAAAGGGTTGCAACATATGCATTAAGTCACAGAACATGTATTATAGAGCCCAAGGAAACACTCAGGACACAAACTTTCTGCTAGGAAGAACTGACAACTATAGACTTTCCTTTTCTTTTGAAAACATAAAAATTACCAGTGAACATTTTCAGCTTTCTAGCATCAATATATCACGCTACTCTGAGCCAAACCCTTCTTTCCAACCTGAAGCTGCACTAAATTTATATACACTATTGTCTTTTCCTTCCGAGTTTTTCTTTCTAGATGCAACCACATCCTCAGGTAAGAATAACCATGGAGAAGTGTTTCGTTCATTTCTTCTTGTGGTACCACTGAAATAGCACTAGTTGCAAAAGGACGACTTAGATGAACCAGCACAGCTGACTCCAGCTCAGAGCTACCATGTCCTTTTAAGAATACAAGAAATTCAACCTTTATTGCAGCTATTCACCTTAATTACATAGAAGGGCCAAGTCTTCCAATGTGTGTGGGTACCTGGAAATCATATGGAGTGCCCACAATCAGTGAGTAGAAATAGGTTGCAACACACTCATTTGGGTGAGTTGCAAACACACAGCAGAGATTATGTGGATGATATTTTGTGGACATTAAGGAATGAGGACAAGAATAGGAAATGTCTGGTAGAAAAGTCACATGGACAGTTTAACAACTAAGATGTTTGAAGGGCCGGTGAGCTCGGAATCATGAGATGTGCAGGCTCCTAAAATCCACTCTGAATTATTTCTGATTGAAATAGGAACCACTGGTACAATCCAGGATGACCCTCTAACAGGTAAAATTCCTGAGAATTCCTGAGAATGGTTACAGAGGTAAAGTAGTTTGAAATCTCTCATGTGTATATGCTAAGTTCTCTTTACATAGGGAAATCCTTTGATTAAATGAAGCAATAACTAACACGGAAGGGGAAATACCTGTTTCTCAAACACTGTGGATGAGGGGAAGATGCATGCTGGTAAGAAGTCAGGGTAGCATACAGGCAGAGTTACGGAGGGTATGCATTTACACATATTTTTCTGATGAGTCATAGTCTTTCTTGCTTCAAGGGCAAGAGGAAGAAAAAATTCCTATCCAAATCATTATACTCCCTGATGGACAAGGAAAGCTCTAGCATTAAAATCAAAGTAAAGAAAAGTAGCAAAACTCAAAAGAGAACAATCTCTGTCATCACTAACCTGGTCCAAAATCCATGTGCTTGTGTCCAAGTTAGCTAGCTCCAAGTTACTTGCAGGGAAACCTTAATTCTGCAAATTCTTATTTCACATGAAAAAAGCAACCTAGAAAAACACTCCTTTGTAAAAACGTATGATTTGATCCTATAGTGCAATCTGTATATTCATTTTAATCGGTGGATTGAACACTCAGGTCTAAGATAAGTTTCTCTTCATTCTTCTACAGCTGATGTGACCCTAAGTAGCATCACAGAGCAGCATAGCTCACTAAGTACGTTATTTCCTCATAACTTTCTACCCTTTCCCTTGCCAATCTCAGTCTTAGGGATTTTTTTTTTTTTTTCATTTTTACTAAAATATAAAATGAGAACTCTACAGGGTGCAGTGAAGCACACTTACATTTTGCTGGCCGTTTTTCAATGCTGATTCCACATGTCTGCAGCAAAGACAGGTTAAGCGCCACTGCCTCCTATAAAATCCTCCCTCTTTTTACAGGGAGAAAACATGTTTTATAAATGAACACTGTCAGTCTTTGCAGGCTCAGAAATCTCTGGAATAGCGGCACGACGACGATTGTGACACATGTGAACGTTAATCTCCAAGATCAAATAGTTTAATTTAAGCTGTTCTATGACACCAGCCTCCAATGGCCTACATTGAATTCAAATGTCTACTTTTGCCTGTATCTCTGCTAAGAAATAAAATCAGTTTAGCAGTTGATTCCACTGAGCTGGTGAGGAACATGCTTTATTCTTGTCTACGTTTCCACTTAAATCTTCACTGCCAAATTAGCTAGACTGATGGAAGTGGTTTTGCTTTCCAGTGCAGTAGAGATATTTGAAGTTCTTACTTTCAGTTAGTTATTTATTATTTCATTTGTGGTGGGTTTAGAACTACATCTTTTAAATATCTGTACGAGAGAGAAAGAGTCTTCCAAATGGCAGAGCTCTGCAAGATATATTATCAAGATTCAGTATTAACTGCTTTCTAAGCAGTACTTGCATAAGTCAAAAAGGTATTTGGCAGAGCTGTAAATCAGCTTTTGTCTGAGGTGGTCAGAAGCTACACTGAAGAGTTTAAAGTTTTTAATTCCTAAACAGTTTCTTGCTGCATGACACACACTGCAAAAAGATGAGTGACTAAGCCAGTGCGGTACAAAATCCATTCCAATTTGTGTTCTGCATTTTATTGGAAACATCTGCAGTTTAATTTGAAATTTAATTTCAAACAGCCCATTCCCCTGGATATGCCATATTTCTTTCACCCACAAAGCTGTACGAAACCTAGAGACAGCAAACTTGTGTCAGCGTTTGGTTCACTCTGCTTCAGGCATGGCTAGGGCAAGCAAAGCATGTGAGAGATCTGGTTAAGTCACCAGCCAATAACAACAAACCATGCTGGATCCAGCTACTTAATTTCAAAGTAAAGCCTGCAGAGTCAGAGGAGAGTCCAGACACTCTTCTTTGTGTTCAGGTCCTCAGCTGCACTTTCAGGATTGAGACTGAGGTACTTTTAACTGAGTCAAGCCAGGCAGCTCACTTGTACAGTAGGATGCTTGAACAATTTCTAAAACTCTCATACTTTCACTTTGTGCTAGGGCTTTTCAGTATGACTTAAACTGCAGCACATTCTCTACAGCCTTTTAGATCACGCTTTCCAGATGTAGCTGGTTTTGAAAGACAGTGGAAGACTATCCCGGTAAAACAAGAAGCAGACCGGGACTAACTCGATCATTTCAGCTTCTCCACTGGTGCCATACCTTCTGACTCCGAATTAGTCCCTGGACTTGTCACAATCAAACTTGATTCCATTCACTGCCAGCAAGACATCCAATCGATTTGGAGCTTTTTTAATATGCACACAAGAGGTGTTTAGGAGTACTGCAGGAGCTGGTATGCTGCTTGATATGGTACGTTTTCTGGAATAGTAAGCTGAGCCAATACTCTGCACTGCTGCCTTATGTGTGAATCTAATCGTTTTTTAAGGCGTCTTTCTGAAGGCAGGAAAGTCAAGGCAAAGTACAAGCACATATGTTGACAAACAAAGTATAAAAATTACATGCGTCCATTAGGAAGGCCAAAAACATCTGTGAATATTTTAATTAGAGCATGTACAAGCCATAAAACTTGTTCATATGTAAATTTCAAGTAGTTACCAGCTTGTTAAATGCATTCAATCATATACCACATCTTTTCTATAATTCATGTTCAAATAAATTAGAAATTGATAACGATTAAAAATGACCCCAATAAAAACGCTTAGCACAATATTTTAGTTTAAATATGAAGGTCTGTGATAAAGGCCTGGTACAGCTGCACTCTTGTTAATCTTCTTCTTTGCCCTTCATTTTATCACAATTTAATTCAGTGCATAGTTAAACTGGTTGGCAAACTTCTCATGCTTTCTTTGGTCCACTCGATTCATTGCTTTCACCACTCGTTTCATAGCACCTCTGAAAGAAAAAACAAAAAATGAATATAAAAAAGGTTATGTTGATGCTATACAGTCTCAGAGAATGTTTATGAATGTTGTGGGAAAAATGAACTATGATTAATCACTATCAGGCTTCTGAACACTGCACTGATGAGGCTGAACAAATTTGTCTTGTTAACCCAATTAGCTGCAGCAATACAAATAGTTTAATTCAGCAATGATTTTATTAACAGGAGTAAACAAATTAAAGTCTTTCAGTTTAATGACTGTGCATTCCATCCTCCTAGTGTTATTTCTGATACTCACACATCAGAAGTTTGATTTTCAAAAGCATTTAACTGCTCTAGGAGAAAAAAGAAAAAACCTAGATGCACATAACAGGATTTAAAAAACACCCTCAGACACTCTTATAAAATCCAACGTGTAGAACGTAGAATGTTTCTTGTAAGGGAAGGGCTTGCTGTCCAACTGATGCAACTTTAAGTGATTTTCTTTTCAAAGGCTCCTACAAAATGCTTCATCAGTAATGAGCGGAACAAGATCCCCTCTCACTCACACCACCAACACCCCTATTCTCAAGCGGCAGCTATCTCATCTGCAAGCACAACACTAGTACTTTAGGAAGACAGCAGAGACTGTCATGTATCTATTTGCAGAGAGGTAAATCAGTATTCCAGAACAGTTAAGTGCTTAGAATTTAGCATAGCCGGGACAACATCTTATGCTTACATGAAGTGGAATGGGACCTCTACTACCTGGTGATGGGCAGGTCTTCATGCCCTGTGCAGCACCTGCTGTGCTTGAAAGCTCTGGAGAGTTCCCCAGATCAAAAAAGGAAATCAGTGAATGAATTTTGGAGCTCTTAAGCTTTCTGGTGCCTCTAAATCTGACCAGAGTGTGCCTCCAGGTTGCTAATCTTTCTCTGGCTGCCATTGTTTCTTCCTGGTTGAAGGTGCCCAGAGATTTCCCTTCTTTGGGGACTGGCTGCTACGCTTTTGAACTGGGTGGAGAGACACACATTTTTCTTCTCTCCACAGAGCTTTGAGTGGAGATCCTTGCAGCTGAGATTTGAGGGTGGGGGAAATGGAAGCACCTGATGCCTAGAAAGTAAGAATAGGAGCAGAAGCAGGAGGTCCTTACAAAAGGTATAGAAAGGGTGAGTCTACATATCTTTTGATTAAGAAAGCAGAAGGGGTTCACGATAATTTTAAAGGGATAAGTAGAAGAAAAAAAAAAAATCAGAACTCTCTGTTGCGTACATCTGCCTCCCGAGAAACTTATAGCTGGTGTTGTGTACAGCTTTGTGCCTAGGGAATGTTCTTCTTCACTGGACTCCAGAGTTCCCATGAGTAATGATTACTTTGGGTGCCTCTAGCAGAAAGGCTGAGAGAAGTTCCAGAGATTTGAGGCTGATATTTGCGGATGTATTAAGATGTCAGCCTACCTCTGTTTATGAAGAATGAGGTTATCTCCTAACACTTCTCTGAAAAGGCCTGGATACTCTGCCTAACTGGGAGGTATACCAGCCAAGGGCTTGGTTTGAGGGACTACATTCAACTTCAGAAAACAGTGCTGACTGATGTATCTGCTTTCATTTCTACATCACAAGCTCAGTCCTCAAGTTCTATCCCACGATGAAGAGAATGGTTTCAAGTCTACTGCTAAACCTGTTTGACTCTACATTGTCACAGCCTGCCTTTCTCTATCGGTTGCGAGGCTGCTGCAGGTTGGGTTGTAAAAAGACAGGGCATCCACCAGGTAACGTGCACTAGCTTTTTTTCCCAGCATCAGGCCCTACACACTATTCTAGCTCAGCTCCTGTGGCCATATCTATTAGGTGCTTGTTGACCTCTGTATAGCTAACTGCTCTCTGTAACTGTTTCCTTTTAAGAGGCATTTTGAAACATCTGAAAATAGATGATGCTTCTTAATAATACTTCTAAATGGTGAGATTAAAGATTCTCTCAGCAGCAACTGTAAACAAATCCAGTATTCTGAAAAAGCACCTCGGAAGTGGTATTCTTTTAACAATATTCTGCCAATAAAGTTACAAGGAATATGGAAAATGTGGTCATGGTTTTGCACTTCAAATATTGCCTAAATTGGTAGGAGAAAAGTGATCCTTTAGCACTGCAGAGTGGCCTTGACACTTTCACGTCATGTAGGTTTTACATTAGCACCACTGGATTGTGCAATACTGTAAATGAAATGAGATCCCACTTTGATGATCTGTGTGCAATTTCACTTTACTTTATTGGCAGACTAGAGCCTGGGTTTATCGCCTATACATTTCAAGTAATTTGGGGTTGTTATAAGGAGCCAAGGTTATCATCTTGTTTAGTGCTGCAAAGCGTGAAACCTATTAAAACGTGACAGGTTTGATTCCCCACGCCTGGCACTAACACACTCAAAATCATTAGCACAAAGCATAATAAACCAAAAACGGGTTTTTAAATTTATTTTGTAAAAGCTGATACGAAATTCTGACTATTGGAACTGTGCATCTTACAGACCTCTAAGATCAGGTAACATGAGAATTTAACAGAAAACATGCTATTTTGTAACCAAAAGGAACGTGCATTTGGTTTTGTTCTTATAACCATTATATTAGAGAAGGGAAAAGAGAGTTTAAACAAATACTGTGTCTTGGATGCTGTTCAAGTCATCCTGTATGTTTAGCACATAACACAGCACTAATGATTTTAGAATAATAATTTTATTTTCTTTTTGATTTGACAACTTTGCACTGTTTGTCTTGCTTTGGCCACTATGTTTTTAACATGTGAAACTCCTTAAATAATTGCAGCTGCTTCTCATTCAAAATGGTCCAGAGCATGTTTGGGCAAATTTATGCTGTAGCCATAACTAACATAGACTGGATATCAGAAAGAGCGTAACAGAGCAGACACATGGAGCTACTATATATTGTAAAACTCATTCAGCTTAGTGGGTTTGTAGGCTCCCACTTGTGTCTGAACTAGCTTGCCTGTTTGCTTATGATTAGGTCAGATATGCCTACTTAAGTCATGGACACATCTTTGCTACGTCCAAACACTGGTGGCAGTGTCAGGATGTCACGGGCATCTGTAGAAGCAAAATCTGTTTCAGAAAGAAAAAGATTTCATTTAAGCCATAGAATCCTAAAAATTAAGCACACAGATCTGTAAACAGATTTCTACAAGGCCTGTCTTTACTGTGGTTATAAATCAAGTTATCTGCATAATTAATGGTCCCTGAATAACAGTGGCTTGAAGCATTTTAGCTGTGCGGGTTCACCTCTTTACTACTCTATCTGCTAGAGGGTTAACCTCTGGGAAGGCTGTGGGGTACAGAGCTGACAGCAACAGCCTCTTAACTTCCATGCCCAGATTTGCCAACTTAAGCATCATATTCACAAGCCTAGCTTGAGAAAAGCAACCAGACTGCAAATCATTTTAACGGTGCTGTGGCTGCAGCAGCAATCCTGCACTGCTTAACTAAGTTTCTATAAGATTCTTGCTTCAATGGAACCACTTTACTAACAAACTATGTAGAGTTTTAGAACTCAATTTATCTTGAGCTAGAGAGTTTGGGGGGGGGGTGTTAAATTGCGAGAATATTCAATCTATTTATTGAGCTGTCATCACAGAAAAGCAAGCTTTCTTACAGATAAGTAGCTATAGGTTATATTTTTAAAAAGTAAAGGTAACAGTGCATAAATTATCTTGTATGCATTAGTACCTAAATTTACTTCAGTAGGCCTAAGTTATGATTATCTTAACATTTTTGATCTTTGTTTTTTTGCAGTCCAAACAATTTCTTCTATAGTTAGGGGCAGGCCATTAGCTACTGTTTGCACATGTGCTGGGAGGAAAGGGAGAAGTATAGAAACAGCACCATCCTGGAAACAACACTGTGTCCACATGTCATTGTAGAGGGAATACTCAGCTCCCAATTCTTAGACTGAAAAGAGAAGAGGTCTGCAGCAGGTTCCACTTCTTAATATTAACAAAGGACAGCAGAGGTGAAGTGAACAAAGACCATAACAAAGATGCATTTTTTTTTCCTCCTTAACTGAGAGTGAATTGAACTGGATAAAAAAAAAAAAATCTAACAGCAGAATGTCACTGAATAATATATAGGAAGGAATCATTGTGTGTACTTACTGGAAAGGGAGGCACTCTATCAGGCTCAGCTACAAGCTTAGGTTACCCAAGGGCAAGACAAAATACACTGGCGTAAAGCAGCCCAGGCAGCAGTCAAAAGTTCTGGAAGGTCCCTGAACACGCACTAGAGCCTTGGGATCAACTAACAAGATACTACTACATGCCAAAAGCCAAATGTTTTTGACGTATCCTTTTATTAAAGGCATTTCTACTCCAGGCAGCCCATCCCGGCCTTTCAAAAGGAAAAACTATTCACTTTCACTCTATCTACACTACTGCAGTGTGCATCTGTTGCTGCAAGTTGTGTCACTCTGAACGCTTAACCTTCTTTTCAGATTCAGTAGCATTTGCACACATACGGTACCATCAATCTGATTAATAAATGATAATCCAGAAAAGTCACTAACGAAATTAGAAGATTAAAAAAAAAAAGAGAGAGAGAGAAGGATTAAAAAAATAGCTTCTACAGGGAATTTTTTAAATTAGCTGCAAAACATTCTCTAAGAAATAACCTCGTTCATCAGTACCTGCTACTCCTTGCCCTCCAGACAGATGGAAG